GATCGCGATGCATGTGCAAGAAGCACGTCGCCGCGCGCAAGACCGCGTTGAGAGTGCAGTGTCACGCCAGCATCGGCTGGTACACCAGTTAAGTGCCCGGTGTGCGCGGAAACCATCAAGGGTAAGAACTGCCCCGGGTAGCCCGGTGCCGGGATCAGGATGGTATGCAATGCGCTGTTTGGCAGCGAGCTCACGATGACGACCCCATTGGGGCAAAGCCGTGGTGTGAGAGTGAGTTCGAGGGAAGCAGGGACCCCTCGAATTCTTTGGATAGCGGCAATGGCTTGCTCAATGGTGGGCACTGCATGGATGCCAGTCGCTAAGTGAAGCTCGGCATGTGTGGGACCATACACAGCAATGAGTCCCTCCTGCGGCAAGTGGGCCCCCATCTGCTGCCTCCTGAGTCGAATCCCCCGAAAGAAAGCCCTGTCACTGGCAGTGATTTCGAGTGGGAGCACAAAGGGTCTCAGCAAGGGAAAATGTGCTAGAGGCCAACCTATGGGCACCACAGCCGGCACATTGGCTCCCTGATAAGGGATGATCATGTCGCCATCCCTGGCATTCCTAGGCATGTGTGCATCCGGAATGCCGTTGACAGACAACCTCCATCCATCGTCTTGCCATTCTGGTGTGAGGATGAGCTGTGTGCGCTGATGCGCGCTGTACGTGGTGGTTTGCACAACACTGCGGTAGGCACGACCGTCCCAAACGACAGTGACCCTGTCCTCGTCGGTCTCAAGGAGCAAACAAATAACATCCTGAAACGGGCCCTGTCGGGTGGGCTGTGCAGAAGCAAGAACAATCCTGGCATACTCATCCACCGGTTCATCTTGACCATGTCTTTGGATCAGCCTCCAAAGGGCGAGGTCAAGTAGTTGATGCTGTCCCGCCAGCACGCAGGAGTAACCGACATTACCCCTCAGGAGAACCAATCTACAGGATGGGTACTGGACTGTAACAGTTGAAACTCGCACAGCTGTGGTGGTGGTAGACGTGGGGCCTGCTGGAGCATCAGTAGGGGCATGTGGGTCCAGAGTGCCGCTGAAATCCCAAAGGTCGACCTGTAACTCAGCAGTGCGGGAGACCCGGAAATGCTGAACCGCATGCAGGCTGACCTGGAGGTCTTGCAACACTGGGCCTAGTGCGTCCTGTACGTACATGCTGCCTGCCTCAACCTCGCGCTCAAGAATAATGTCTTGCTGGATGTGCGGCTGCACAAGCTGGAGCGCAGTGGATCTTGCCTCTCCACTTTGGTGTCTGAGTGTGAGCACCCTTTCATTGATTCCCCGAAGGTCCCACGGCAAAGGCAGCTCGGTGGGGGGTCGACCCAATTCAATGAAGACTAGCTGCGGAAGCGGCAACCCCGGCAGCGTGTGAGAGAGCACGATGACTCCACTGGCAGTGAAAGGTAGTCCAGAAAGGGCCAACGCAATCATATCTACCAAGCTAGAGGTCGGAAGGCAGCGCTCTGTCGTCATGTGCCGAACATGGTCGAATACAGTGAATCGTCCGGGGGGCGCCCCCGGGGCTCTCCCCCAAGAAAAGAGATTCGCCGGTGATGAGAATATAGGAATGGCCCGGACTTCGCTCGGAAACACATTGAGCGTTTCAGCTCTGATCAGTGCAATTTGTCCCGGGCTGCGCACAGAAAGTGCGCTAGCCTTTGCGCGCGGGGGAGTGATCTCGTTCGGCGGCTGTAGCACTGGATGTGTGGGCCATCTGCCGGCCTTTTTTGAATGGACAAATCGAGCTGCCCGATTGTATGCGGCACAATCCTCATCACCAAAATGCACTCGCAGTGGAAAACAATGCGGGGTTGTATGCAGCTGACTGCAATGGCGGAGGCCTTGACCAACAGGGTCAAAGGCGCGAGGATGAAAATTGGCAACTGGGCAAGGTGGTGGTCCGATTGCAGTGCACGCCACGGGCGGCACATGCTGCGACAAGGCATCGGAAAACCGTCTATCACCCCCTAAATCGTTCCCCGAACAAGGTTCAGCGGAAAGCTGCCCACAGCCTACTGTCTCAACTGTACAGCTGTACATTCGCTTCGTCTCAGTCTGCCCGACGTCTTGTTGAGGAGCAGCGACCCGACACTCAGAATCAGGAGATCCAAACTGTGGTCTACGAGCGATCGCATCCCTGCCGGGCTGTGCCATGTGCTCCGGTGGGTCCCGACTGCGAGAACACACAGCATGGATCTCAGGATCTTCTGTCGCTCCGCTACTCCTCCAGACGTCTTCGTAGGTTTCATAGCTCTGTATCCTGGGATCACGCCACCAGGTCTTTCCCTCATCGCTCGAACTGCAGTAGACGTCAAAGCTCAGCTGTATGCCAAGCCAAGCTGCCGAGGCCTCGTCCACGAAGTCGGCCTCGGTCTGCACCGAGTGGTATGTTTCTTTTTGCCAAGGCTCACCGTCCCTAAGAAGGCACGCCGGTGAGCCTAGGCAAAAGGCTGCCCAGATGGCTCTGCATCCTTGGGCTTTTCGCCCTCGCCGTCTTTCTCCTTTCGTCTGCGCGGGGTACGCTCCCGCTTTTCCGCTCCACCAACAGCACTTGAAGCCAGTGCTGAGTCCCTGACGGCTGCCAAGGCCGCGGACAGGTTCTGGTGTTGCGCTGCCAGTTCCTGTCGCTTGGCCTCCATTCGGGCTGCCTCCTGCGCGTTGGTAGTCACTTCTTCCTCCATGCCAACCTCTTCCTCGGAGTCTGTCACTTCCACGGTGTTGCCACTCCCATCCACGCCTTGGTGGGTGGCTGTTTTCAATGCCTTGGCTGTTTCCGCCAGGCGTTGGGCCCACTTCGTGAAGGACTCGTCCATGGAGGCCAGAGCATCTTCCCTCTCCTTGAACTGTTGGCTGAGAAGGTCCAGGAGGCCCTGTGTGTACAGGGCCCATCCTGCATCGAAGTTCGCACGCTGGGCTTTGAGCTTCTCCAGCGAGGCTGTGGCTTCCTGCCTTTGTGCGACCAGCTTGTGTAAGGTCCTGGCCTCCGTCTTCGCTGTGGATTGATTGATCTGGGCAACCACTGCCCGGACACTGTCCGGTATATCTGCCTGACTTCCAAGGTGATCGAGCAAAGTCTCCAGTGCTTTGCGGTCCGCACTGGGCTCTGCTGCTCCCGGAAATGCATCCTTGGGTCCAGGCAGGGCCTTGATGATGGGCGGCTTCGGCAGACGATCCAGCGCGGGTACCTGCGGTTGTCGATCTCCACGCGTATCCCCTGCTCCCTTGCCATCCATCCCAGAGGCCTTGCCTTTGGCTTCGTGCTTGCCTTTCTGTCCCTTGGGCGCTCTTTTTCGTGGCGACCATCCCCTGGGAGATTTGGGCCATTGGCCCGCATCTCGATCCCAGTGTGCGGCCTGTCCTTGCCATGCAGAGGTGTAGACCACTTGCTGCCACGGAGCTCCGCACGCTGAACAAAATTGTGCGGACTGCTTCATATATTTTTTGCATGTGGTACACCACCAGCTCTGAGCCTTGCCTTGTCGAAAGGGCTCCGCCATGTCTGGTGCTTGTAGGTGTAGAAGTCGATCCGCCGCCTCCGGCAGCGATGAACCTGCGTGATGTCCCCTCAAGCTGGCAGCTGCACGTTCTACCGAAGCTCGTGGGTGCCAGGTCCCTGTGGTGAAGGACCTCAAAATTGTACGCGAGCGTGTGCGTGCTCTCCTCGCACGTCGATGCCACGCCGGCTCGGTCGTTGCTGGTACCCGCACCGTCCCAGAGAACAGCCAAGATAACCAGAAGGTGGGCACTGCCCATTCACAGGTATGTAAAAAGAAACCCAGTCTGAGGCGAAGCTCAGAGGGCACTTTCCAGCCACCGAAGTGGGGAAATGTAGGACCAACCACCTCCCGATGGGTACAGTGGAGGCCCGAACGTTCACCTGACTGGTCTGTTCGCCAAGTCAGGAAATTCAGTGGGCTCAATAGCCACACGCGGGGTCCTCGGCCGGCTCGGAGTGGATCCTAAAAGGAAAACTACACTCAAACCACGCTCGTGCCGAGACGCCTGGGTTTAGGGTTTAGGGTTTAGGGTTTAGGGTTTAGGGTTTAGGGGTTCAGGGTTTAGGGAGCACAAATCTCCCTCAACTCTGAATCGCCACTGTGCGGCTGCACTGAGGCTTTGCGCGATTCCAGGTAAACCCAAACCCTTAACCCCTAAACCAACCCACAGCCTTCCCTGGGGCTCAAAATAGCCCGAAAGCCTTACATGTTTTGGTTTTCGGGCACAAATGCCTTAATATATGAATCCTTAGAGCCCTAGGGTTTTCTCAAGCATCATTTTTGGGCTGAGATGAAGGCAAGCCACTCTGGGTACTTCGGCAGGGTTTGTGTTTTGGGTTTTGGCATTCAGGGCACTAAACCCTAATCAGGGTCCATGCATGTATATATGTATGTACGTATGTTATACACCCTATACCCTATTCTTATTGTTAATGCCCCTGTATTAGACCCTGACCCGCAGCAATGATCTTTTTGCTGCGCTCATTGTTCGGGTACAACTATCTATATGCTGTGATCTTCAGCTGGACGGGCCTACCGCTTGAAACACGGGAAACGACTTGTTGAGGACCTAGAGACTCCAATATCCCTTAATTACGGAATATACCTTAAATTATAGTGGGATCGCTTATATGATTTAAGGTATATTCCTTAATTGAGGAATATTGGAGTTTCTGGGGATTTTGTGTCTTGAGTTTAGGCAGTTTAGGAGTCTAGGCTGCGCCGCGACAGGTGCAGCCAATGTGAACGTGAAAATGGGTGGTTGTCAAAATTAGGGTCCCTTTGTGGGTACCTGAAATATTAGGTGCCGCATTATAATAGGTACCCAAAAAGGTATCCTAATTCTTGAGAATTACCCATATGAGCCAGTATCATTCGCAGCTTCGCCACCATCAGAAAGCCGTGGTTGCATGGTCGAGCTACTTGTAGTACGGGGAGCTGCAGAGATTTTGAATAAGGGAGTCTTATCTCCAACCCTAAACCCTAAACCCCGTCCGAGGAGTTTTCCACCGGGAAGGATAAGCATCGAAGAGGCGAGATCAAGAAAGCGTTGGAGAAGGCCGGTTTAGGGTTTTGGGGCTTCGAGAGAAATCAGCCACAGATCAGCCCAGCGAATCCAACATAACTGAAGTCAGGACTGCCTCTCAAACCAATAGTAGTACAGCGGCCTGGTAGCTGGCTTGTTTGCCGCCGAAGGGAGAGCCGTTCGCTACGGTTCTCTCAAAAACTTAAATGTGTAAACACCTCGAGTTTTCTTGGTTCTTGTGAAATAGGCGGCGTTTGTTTGCATCTCGTTCGTTCCATGTTGTTGTTTCCTTTGGTTAGTGTGTGTATGCGGAAGTGCCGTAGATACTATAGGCATTGTGATCAGTTTCAATTAATACAATCATGATTTTAGGTGTTGTCTTCGTGTCTTTTCTTTCTTGACTTATGGGTCTGTTGTTTTATATATGTTTTTTTCGTTTGGAGAGGCCAGGGGACCTCGGGACTGCCGAGACTTGGTGTTTTTAGGGTTTATGGTTTTAGGGGTTTACGGTTTAGGGTTTTAGGGGTTTAGGGTTTAGGGGTTTTAGGGGTTTAGGGTTTTAGGGTTCAGGGTTTTTAGGGGTTTAGGGTTTAGGGTTTAGGGGTTTTAGGGGTTTAGGGTTTTAGGGTTCAGGGTTTTAGGGGTTTAGGGTTTAGGCTTTTTGTCCGGTTTCAGCAGGAACATGGACCAGCATTGTCATCGTCATTGTTATCATCACCGTTGTCGTCATCGCGATCGTTCTAGTTATCCTCATCATCGTCACCATCTCAAGAAGCATCCAGAGCAGGCGCATCTTCATCATTACATCGTCATCATCGGCACAGCAGGCATCACCTCATTCTCAACTGCATCATTGCATGGTCCTCAAACCTACGTGGCCGCCGCAAGAAGGCTTTCCAAATTCAAGAATAATGAATACCTGTCCGTACCCCCATCCCACCGCTGCGCGGAAACAAGATGAGTAGCAGTACAATCGGCATTGCCATGGACGTCATCACCCCGCTTCGCATCCCCCTTGCCCATGCCTGCACGGAAGTAACAAGAACAACACTACAGACATAATCCAAATTGCCATCGACATGCTATCACACCCCCATCTCTGCACGGAAGCACAATGAAAAGCACTACGTGCGTAAGCCATACTGCTATGGACGTTATCAACCCCCCCCCCCCCCCCCCCCGCTCCATCCGCCCTGCCCACCCCTGCACGCAAGCAAGCAGAAAAATATTGCTGCACGGAAGCAAGCAGAAAATATTGCATACACAATCCCCGTTGCCATGGACAGGAAAAGCATCCGCATGGGCATGGACGTTATCACTATTCCCCCCACACCCCACCCTGCAAAAACATTTAGCACACTGTAAAAACCGATGCGACAGACAGCTCGCAATTCGTGGTCCATTGCGACGTGCGAAAACTCGGGTTTTGGCACATTGCAGCCTGGAAATCGATGCACACTTCGCAGTAGCAGACGTGCCGGCTGCCAATAACTACAAGCATTTTACTACCCCTTAGGCTCTAAGGACTCATATTTTCAGGCTTTTGGGCCCAAAGACCATACTATGTAAGGCTTTTGGGCTATTTTGACCCTTAGGGTACGGGCATGTCTTCTTTGTGCCCACTCACGAATCGCAAATTCGTAAACCATGAGAGTGTCTATGTGCCCAAAAAGCACATGCTTTGGCCCCAAAGTACCTATATAGGGACTACTTTAAAGCCAAAGTATATACTACTCGGGTACATGGGCTCTTAGGGAAATGGATCTAGTCTATTTGAACAACTCCAGGAAAGTGTACTGCCACAGGCTTGTCTTTCGATGTGAGGATCAACTATGGCATAATGGATTGTCTCTAGACCCTGAGTTGTGTAATCCAGTTTTGGATTACATTTTGTTGTGATTCGGGTCTTATCAGGAATTGGAAGAAAGAGGGCAAGGCACCAAAACGTACTACATTACGGCGCCGTGGTAGGGTGGATACTAGTGCCTTTAGGGTTTACGACCTTTGGTGGGCTTCACCCTACCCAGAGACTCCAATATCCCTTAATTAAGGAATACACCTTAAATTGTAGTAGGATCCCTGATATGATTTAAGGTATATTCCTTAATTAAGAGATATTGGAGTCTCTGGGTAAGCCAATAAAGCGAAGCTCCCTCTCTGGGCTTTCGGGCCTGCATAGATCCCTCGGGATCCACGTACTCATATGCATGGGTGGTTGTCAATAATAGGGTCCCTTTTTGGGTCCTTATTATAATCCGGCACCTACTATTTAGGGTACCCAAAAAGGGGCCATAATTTTGACAACTACTCTCATATCGCAGGAGCTAAACTCAGACTCTCTGCGGGGCTCCGCAATGCACTATCGGGGGTGTTTTCCTGTAGTGCAGTGCCTTTCAGCTTCTGCATCCGACAAAACTGGCTTTGGATTTTGGACGGCTATGTACCACGACATCCTGTCCTGAGCATTGATGCAGGTTCCCCAACCCCTACACCCTAAACCGTGTTCCGCTATGTTTTGAATTGGAGACTCTAGCAAAGCCGCCAGGACGAGAGGAGGCAGCGCAAAAAAGGCGGTGCTGCCTTCTACTGAGCAAACGGAGACCGTCGCATCCCTTAAGTCAACTTTGTTGTTGTATGAGGCTGCAGGTTTAGCTGCAGGGCTTTAGGGTTTGAGGTTTCGGGGTTCAGGCCTTATGGGTTCAAATTCACAGGCTTTGGCTTCCTGTAACTCAAAAGTAGCCAAGAGGATGTTGTAAGTTAAATAATCCAGAAGGTACAGTACGGCAAACGCTGGACCAAATGGTAACACCTCAGACTGCTAAGTCAGGGGTGCACCCTGGACCATGAAGCCCTAAGCAGAGACTTCGAACAACAGTCCAATAGTCAAGAAGTCAAGTACCGTGTGAGGCTCGGGGAGGGCGGGAGGGGTAGGGAGAGGGAGGGGGGGATGCTGGGGTCTGGGCCTAGCACTCCAGTGATTCCTTGAACACCCCCTTGAGTTGGGATAGCTGTGGTAGAAGCGGTATGCTTACTTTATTTAGTCAGCGCCTTAAGCCGGATTACTTATTATGATTTCCTTATATAAGTCCTTAAAAAGGTAGGTTATTCCGGCTTAAGATGCGTTTGCCCACAGATTTGTGATCCCTTGTTTAAGACTCAGTGCATGTTGAAGGATCCTTCTGCTCAGGATTTGTATCGGTTGTATCATAGGTTGTGCGCCGCTCTTCGTGCTTCCTTCAGGACTGTTGACTAGATTCCCCCAAACCCTAAATCCTAAAACCCTGAAGCCCTAAACCGTAAAACCCTGAAGCCCTAACCCCTAAACCCCTGCACCCTAAACCCTGGCATATGAACATGTCTGGGCACCTAAACTACCGGAGCAAGCAGCACGAAAGTCCACAGAGTACCATAGGCGCCTTAATAATCACCTTTTGGAGTGGGGGGCGGGGGCCTTGTTACAATTATGGTATACTATACCCCAAGCCTTATTCTGATTATTAAAGCCCCTACATTACGGTTGAAGTTTCGAAGCCGATGTTCGATACCTTGCCCAAAGAGTGCATGAACTCATATAATGTATACATAGTTATCACGCCGACGGTGCCCCACGGCAGTGTAAAAAAGATGACTTAAGATGCATGCTCAGGGGTGCATGGGTGCTCGGGATACAGTCGCATATATTGCGAATTGCGAGCTACTATGTCTTTGCGAAGCCCTAAATGGGAGTTTCCGAAAATAGGGGACCCTAATATAGTACCCTAAATAATAGGATCCTTACTATAAGGACCCCCAAATAAGGTACCCCTAATTTTCGGAAACTCCCAAATCCTAAACTCTTCTTTTCTGAGCAGCACTGAGAGCTCATAGCCCGAACCAAGCGACCGAAATTCATCCTAGCACATATGTGCGGTTGTCAAAATTAGGGTCCCTTTTTGGGTCCTTATTATAGTACGGCACCTAATATTTAGGGTACCCAAAAAGGAACCCTAATTCTGGCAACTACCCGTACAATATGAGTTACTACAAGTCCTTGATTCGCGTATGGCAAGGGCCCTACTCAACCTTCAACCCCTAGAGCAAACCTCAACTGGGGACAGGCTGTGACCGGGGGGAGGGGTAGCGCTCATGGTTTACGTCTAGGGTTTCGGCATAGTTTTCGAATCGATTCTAGTTTGCATGCTACTTGGGAACTAGTGGCAATCACACAGCGGTGCCTTTTGGGCGAGACTCTGGACGCTAGGATTTAGGGTGTGTGGATAGTCTGGAGTCTGGTGCAGTCGGAACCGAGTTTTCGCCATCGCCTTCGTGCGGCGGTCGCAAAAGGTTGGCATGACCTTTTCCCTCTTCTGAATTTTGTTCAGGGCTTCGGATCTGGGATATCGGGTGGAGAGCTCAAAGGATGGGAATCGAAGCAGCAGTTGTAGGTACTATGTCTCGGTGACCGCCATCCTTACTTCCGCAAAGCTAATGCTGATGCCTGCATCATCCATAATTTGCAGCAGCATAAGTCACGGACCCAAAACTTGCCTAGGATAGTGGGAGTTTCCGAAAATAGGGGACCCTAATTATAGTACCCTAAGTAGTAGGATCCTTAATATGAGGACCCCAAAATACGGTACTCAATGCCTAAACCCTTTATCCCTATAAACCCTAAACCCTAAACTCGCAGCAAAATTAATCACGGACTCCAAAACTTGCTTTTGTACAAAATCTTTGGGCGATTTAGCGCCTAAGGCCGATGTCCTACAAAAAATGCGGTGGCCGTGCTATTAGAATAGGGTTGTGGGGTATGCTACGCATTAGCATAATCCTTTAAAGGTCATACTGACCCTAAACCCTAAACCCTTTATAAACCCTAATGTAGCCCACTATTTCAGCCTCCAGCTCAAAGCCCCCAGTCGTTATCCGCTGAACCCCATACCCATTGGGAAGTCATAGAACAGGCGGAAATAGAAAAAGGCAGATAACTGCAAACGCAGAAATCCTTGAGCCTTATAAGCCCTATAAACCCTAAGCCGAGACCGCAACGCCAAGGCCCTAAGCCCTAAATCGGGTCACGGAACACATTATTTCTCGGTCTTCGGTGCGTGCGACGATGGAAGTTGGACCTCCAATCCAGCCCGGCAATTCCAACGCTGCGGGATTTGGGTAGTTGGGGCCTAGGACTTGGGGTTGTTTTGGGTGAACCCTAAACCCTCAACCCTACAGTTCACCTGCAGCCCCAAACCCTACGAAATAGTGTGGCGAGATCCTCGAATTATATAGGGGTGGTGCAGCCATGAAAACAGTAGTTTTGGGGATCCCCAGTGTGGATTGAGGGCTACGGCTTCGAACAGGCAAGTCGAGCAGGGACGAAGAAGTCCCTGTGCTGTCGCACGATGACTTCAACCGGTCTCCCTGCCCCTGAGGGTCCCCATAATGAAGGTCCCATAACCATATGGAAGTTGGCGAAAATTAGGGGTACCTTATTTAAGGGTCCTTATCCTGCTATTTGCGGTACAAACTCCCATATAGTACAGCCTTGGCTGCCCAAGTACCTAGATAGGGACTACATGAAGGCCAAAGTATATGCAATATACATGGACCCTGAGGCAATCGGAGCCCTAAACCCTAAATTTAAACCCCAAGTCACGAATCTGAGCCTAAACCTTAAAGCCCTAATAGTTCAGGAGGTCAAAATCCATGTCAACACCATTTTGGCTCGAGTCTGCATAAAAAGTGGCAGAATTCTGCGAGATTGAAGAACCTAAGGAGCTTTTCAAACTTACAAAGCTGAACCCTCTAAACCAATTTGTCTTGCACGGCCTAAACCCCTAAAGCCTACCTGGACACCGGACTGCCGTCGTTGTTTGAAGCTTTTTATGGCTATGGCGTGTAGTGTTTAGGGTTTATGGAATCGAGCCCCAGACCGACAGACCGGAAATCCCACATGCAGAACCCAGATGCGTAGAACGCAAGCCCCAAGCTGTAGCCTCAGCACCTGAACCCGTACACCCTGAACCCTAAACCCGAAGCCCCGAGCCCACACTCTTAAACTGCAAACCCGACACTGCGAGGCTGGCAAGCCAAAACCCTTATCAGCCCGAGCCCACATACCTGAAGCCAAAACCCCCTACAGCCTAGAAAACCCCACCCCCCAACGCAAGCTCCTTGAGGCCCAACAGCTAGACCCTGAATCCTGAAATTTATGCAATCCAAACGATTTCCAGAGACCCTCCTACGAGCTTCTTGCATGAAAGATGCGCCTTTGCCTCGTGGCCTGTGCTCTCCTTGGCTACAGTGCATGGTTGAGCTGCCTTGTATACCCCGGTTCCTCAACAAAGTGAAATTGTTGGGGGGTCTCGCAGTGAAAGTCCTACCATCTATCTACATGGTTTTCTGCATCTCTCTACATGGGCTGCAGTAAAAGTTGGTAGTGCAGTTTGCAGGGAATTAGCCACCAAGTAAAGCATAAACATCTGACTGGATGGCTTGGTGGCCCTTTCTTATGTTTGTTTTTGGCCGAAAAGTATGCCGCGACTGGAGCATGTACTCTTCATATTCTGGAAGTGTTGAGTACGTTATATTACGTTTTACTATACTACAGTATACTATACTGTACTAGTAGTTTACTATACTATACCATGCGAGACTGTGTCATACGATACTGTACTATATCAGGTTGTATCGTGATGTAACATGATATGCTAAAACCTAATTTATTATGCAATAAAAACACAGTGTAGGTTGACACAAAGTACAAGTTGGCTGTCAGCCAGAATACAATCTAAGAGCCGAATGCAATATGTTAGAACTACGACGAAATATTCTCCAATGCCATATATATATATATATATATATATGATACAATAAAAAATACACAATGAACTCTTAAACTGTAACGTCGTATAATATGACAAAATGTGGTATAATGTATAAGCAACATGTAGTTCAAAATAGAGCGGAACCACATCATTACTACAATATCTTGCCATAATATGCCATGGCATGATAACACAATGTAATGCAATGATTTAGTATAGTATAGCAGAATGTAGTGTACTGCAATACAAGTTTAGATCATGCCACAAGCATAGTGTTATAAATGTCGACATGAACCTCAATAATAGCTCATTATGGTGTAATGGCATATCGATGCACCTGTAGTCCTGATATGAACATGTTACACTACCACCTAACACCCTGTTCTACTGTTCAACAGCGGCTACAATTGTAAACACTGTGTGTGTGTTTTCCCTAAGGGTCCTAGGTACTGTTATGGGGAATGCTTCCCCAAACCATAGTAGTAATTACGAATATATAAACCCTACATTCTAGTATATTGATACTGTGGACCCTTTGGGTTTATTGGGTTTCAAGAGTTGGGACCAGAGTAAGCCTTTATTCCCATGTTTTTAGGGTTTAGGTTCCCTTATAAACCCCCTTTAAGCCAAAAAGGGCAGCCTTTTTCTGCCTAGGTTACTCTTGGGTCTAGTTCAAGAGTTGGGACCAGTGAGATGGTTTCATGTCTTCCTCGTGTGATCAGGAGCCTTGTTTCCAGTGCAGTTTGTCCCCATACTGGGGCGTTTAACGTCTAGGGTATATACCCCAGCCTTTATGAAGCGCCTCTTATGCTTATTTTGGGTCCAAGAGGCCCATCGGCAGTGTGATCTAATAGTTATAGGGGTTGGGGACCTTTATCCAAACAGCCACGGCTTGGAGCCTTGGTGCTACTGTTCTTTAACACGTCACTTGGACCAGAAATCAATTATCCCTAAACGCTGCTTGTGAATCCGAAAACCGTTAGCCCCTATATAATTGTGGGTTCATGACCTACCATTTTGTGGGGTTTGAAGCTAGAGGTCAACTTTGCCCTACAGTCAAAGCCCTGAAGTGACCTGAAATCTGGCAACCGAGACTGTGTACAGCTGCCTCTTCCCCGAACTGAAGACATGACAGGGTTTATGGTTTAGGGTTTAGGGTTCCTGGTGTATGGTGAGGTCCTAGAACGCCAAAAACAGGCGACCAACGAAAGAACTTGCGCGTGAGTGAAGGCCCCAAGATCCTAAGCCCTAAATGCTCAACTCTATAGTAGAAGCTAGAAAGTTGGAACATGGCTTTAGGAGAATTGGTGCTAGGATCCCTTGTGCTTCACCTGAAGGGCATGAGGATAATGATGTTCCAACTTTCTGGCTTCAACTGTATACCCTGAACCTCAGAAGCCATCTGGTTTGAGATTTGTCCAAGGTGCAGCCATCGCCGCCTTGGCAGGCTCGCAGCCCCAGCGCTTGATATAGGGGCCTTCATAGTTACCTAGACTTTTTGGGGTTCCTTACTATATGTATAGTATGATATTCCCCGAAACTCTATTCTAAGGCTAATTATTGAGGCCTCTATATTAGAAAGGGACCGAGGGCTGGTTCTTTCGAGGGTGCCGTTTCAGAGAAGGTGATACGTACATGACTCGGGGGACGTAGGAAGTAGGGTTCTACGAAGTCATTCATGGTAAGTACACTTGGAACTAGGTATACCCATGTGCAAAGAAGGTATTCGGGACCCTGCTTACTGCGACCCTTGTAAGTAATGCTGCTTTAGGGCTTATTTGGGCTTCTAGCCTGATGGCCTGCAGTGCAGTGTGCACTTCGCCCTAGGTGTCGAACGCCAGAGTATATATCTATGCGTACATGGACCCGTAGGGCGGGGCTTATACCCCCTGGATGGGAAGTATCCAACAATGAGTAGTAGCAGTGTAAGTTCGTAGTTACCGATTAGCAGCTACTTCGTGTTAATTAAGCGCCAGGCGACGGGGTCGATGCCGAATGCCAGGCCAAATCAGTGCTCGGGGTTTACTCAGTCTGTGTTGAGGTTCGGTCTTGGGGAGGTTACGTTTTGGTCCTATCCAAGCAGGGTTCAAGGTTTGGGATAAAGCCCCAAGTGTAGGCGTGAGGCGATCCAATACCGACGCCGGGTATCGGAAGGATATGGGGCGCGAGCGTTTGTGGTGGATGGTTTACACATGGGTGGTGGTCAAAATTAGGGTCCCTTTGTCGGGTCCTAAATGTAATACGGCACGTGTTGTTTAGAGTACCCCAAAATGGACCACATTTTTTGAGAACCACCCACATGATTACACAGTCTTCT